TAGCAGTAACTGTAAATCAAATGTAAGCTGGCTAACCCCTAGCTCAAATGAGTTAATGTGTATTCTTAAAGGGGTCATATGAAGTTGCTAAAAAGAACATTATTTGGTGTAATGAAATGTGTTTATGTGGTTTAAGGTTCAAAAAACACATTATTTTCCACATACTGTACATTATTGTTTCTCCTCTATGCCCCGCCTTTCTGAAACGTGTCGATTTTTACAAAGCTCATTGGTCTGAAAAGCGAGGTGTGCTCTGATTGGCCAGCTATCCAATGCGTTGTGATTGGCCGAATGCCTCAAGCGTGTGAAGGAAATGTTACGCCCCTTACCATATTGTGATGCCGTGTGTCCCGGTGTTCTGTCGATTTGTGCTACCCTGTCAGATTTTGCTACCTCCCATTAAAACAGTGGGTAGTACAATTTGACAACGAAAAATGCTACCTGTAAAATTATGGTTTATTAACGTCTACACCTACCCCAACCCTAAACCTACCTTTACAGTAATGCAAATACAGTAATGATGTGTTATATTCACGATTGTGGCTAGAAGGGGTACAGCTACAGGAAACCAACAATAAATATTTTTTTCTACCTATTAGATTGTGTTTTATTAAAGTCTACACCTATCCCAACCCTAAACCCCCTACCCTTTCTTTATTTTTATGACATTTTAATTGATTTTTCATTCATTTCTGTTCACTTTAGACTCTCCGAGAGGAGCAGCCCGAAAGTCCTACACCTGTCGACAGTGTGGAAAGATTTTCAACCATAAAGGACACTTTAATGTGCATATGAGAGTTCACACTGGAGAGAAGCCATTTACGTGCAATCAGTGTGCAAAGAGTTTCATGTTGGAAAACGGTCTCAAAGTTCATCTGTGCATTCACTCATTAAGGCCGTTTATCAGTGTAATAAAACATTTACCATCTTATCAAGCTTTAAAAGACATCTGAAAAGCCATGCAATTAAGAAACCTTACAAATGTTCTTTTTGTGGAAAGGGCTTTTCTCACCTGTACTGGGGGAAGTCGTGGCCTAATGGTTAGAGAGTCGGACTCATAACCCAAAGGTGTGTGTTCACGGTGTGTGTGTGTTCACTGCTGTGTGTGTGCACTTTGGATGGGTTAAATGCAGAGCACTAATTCCGAGTATGGGTCACCATACTTGGCCATGTCACTTTCACTTTTTTTTTTACTATTTTAAAGAGCACCAGAAAATGCATAGCAGTATGAGATCTCATATGTGCTTTGAGTGCGGGAAGACCTTCACTACAGCCGAAGATCTACACAACACCAACACCAAAACAACACCAAAGATTTCACACTGGAGAGAACCCTTACAAGTGCTCACATTGTGGAAAGAGTTTTCATATGTCAGGAAACCTGAGGTCATGTGAGAAGGTCCATACTGGAGAGAAGACGTACAAATAATTACTTTGAAATTAAGGGTGTATTCACACCAGGAAAGTCGCTAGTTCACTTGCGTTGGTCCGGACCAAATAAACGGGCGTGTCTACGTGGTGGCCAGGGGTGGCATCGGCCCCCCCTGAAATCTGGCTGGCCACCCCAGGTGAAAGATGCATGGAAAGAGAAGAAGAAACTGGTCACATTCATTGCAGGAGTAATAAATGCAACATTTGAAATAAAATCAAAAACAGAAAGGATTCAGGTGATTGTGAAAGCAGCAGAACATCATTTGGATATGATAGGACTGAAGTGGGAGGAAATAAATTATGAATTGAGGATGCAAGCAAGTCAAGATAATTCATGTGCTGGGTGATAATATTAATAATGTTAATTTTGCAATGGAGTGCAAGAAGTCTATTGGCTAACGAACAAGACTTTAAGCAATTTGTTGCTAGTAGGAGAGAAGTACCTGAGGTTATAGGTGTACAAGAGACTTGGTTAAAAACTCGATTTTGTCTTATATGATTACGCGGCAGTACAGCATGATAGAAGAGAGAAGGGAGGAGGAGGATGTGCAACATTTATAAAACAGGGTGTATCATACCAAGTATTAGGTATAGGAAATGAACAAGAATATGTGGTAATAAAAGTGTGGGCTGGAAAGAAGGAGTTGGTGATAGTAAATTATTATAATCCATGTCAAAGACTAGAGGTAAGGAAACTTGATGAGATAGAGGGACAAGATTGTAGAAACATGGTATGGTGTGGGGATTTTAATGGGCATAATACATTGTGGGGGAGTGATAGAACTGACATTAATGGTCAAATAATTGAAGAAATGTTAGATGAGAAGAACTTAGTGTGTCTAAATAATGGTGAATGTACAAGAAGAGATGTTAACACGGGGAAATTGCAGCAACATGTGATTGGTCAGTGTATAGAGAAGGAACAATTGGCAGTGATCATTATGGTGCAGAATAAATATAGAGGTAATATTAAGTATAGAAAATATAAGTGACAAGTGGAATTTTGGAAAAGCGGATTGGGGAAAATTTCGGGAGGAAAGTAATATCTAAGTCAAACTAATTTTGAAATGGATGTTGAAACATTAGATTACAAAATAAAGCAAGGTATAATATTAGCAGCAACAGAGGCTATCCCAAAGAATGCCGTGGTGGGATGATAAATGTAAGGAAGTAATTAAAAATAGGAATAAAGCATTCAAGTTAGTTAAAAGGACACATCATTTTCAACATATGGTTCAGTATAAACAAGCCCAGGCAGAAGTTAGGAGGACAGTAAGACAGGCAAAAAGGAAATTCTGGAGAACATATTGTGATTCGATTGGAAACACAACTCCAATAGAAGAAATATGGGGTACGATTAAAACGATGGGGGGTGATAGAAGGGATTGGAGTTATCCAGTTATGATAGAAGGAAATGAAACTGCAGTAACTAATACAGAAAAGGTAGAGATGTTGGCAAAAGCTTTTGTTAAATTAAATAGTTCTAATAATTTGTCAGAGGAGGGGAAAAGAGGTAGAGAAAGAACAAAGGAAGAGAATAGGGGTGCATTAGGCAGGAAATATAATGGAGATGGAGGACAAGATGTCCCTTTTAATCTGGGAGAACTGCAAAGGGCGTTGAATGAATGCTGCACCAGGGAAAGACAAAGTATGTTACAGTATGCTAAAAAATGTAAGTCTAGAAAGTCAGGAGAATCTACTGATGTTGTATAACAGAGTGTGGGAGGAGGGAAGGTTACCAAAAAGTTGGAAAGAGGCAGTAATTATTCCAATAAGAAAGCCTGGCAAAGATCCAAGTAGTTCAGGAAATTACAGGCCAATTGCACTAACATCACATATTTGTAAGTTAATGAAGCGCATGATAAATGAAAGACTTATGTATTTTCTGCAGAGTAAAGATATAATTGCTAGTTGTCAAAGCGGATTTAGGAAAGGAAGAAATACAATGGATCCGGTAATAAATTTGGAGGATGAGATAAGAAAAGCTCAAGTAAACAAAGAGACAGTGGGAACAGTGTTGTGGAGAAGGCGTACGACATGATGTGGAGGGAGGGACTTTTAATTAAATTGCATTTAATGGGAGTTGCAGGGAAAATGTTCAATTGGATCATGGATTTTTTAAATGGAAGGATTATACAGGTAAAGATAAGACAAGTATTATCAAATAAATATATTGTAGAAAATGGGACACCACAAGGGAGTGTAATTAGCCCAATTTTATTTTCCATCAAAATTAATGATATATACTCAGAGCTTCCAGTGGATATGGGGAGATCCCTATTTGCGGACGATGGAGCTATATGGAATAGAGGAAGAAATGGTGAATTTATAAACAAGAAATTACAAAAGGGAATTAATTGTTGAAGAGTGGGGGACAAAATGGGGATTTAAGTTCTCAGTGGAAAAAACTAAAGTAATGATCTTTACAAATAAAAAGAAGGCTAAGGAATGCAAGGTGGAAATGTACGGAACCACGTTAGAGAAAGTAGAGTGTTTTAGATTTTTGGGAGTATGTTTTGACACAAAACTGACATGGAGGGAACATATAATTTTTAAGTTTTTTTTTGTTTTGTTTTTGTTTTTTGTTTTAGTTTTTTTGTTTTGTGTTTTTTTGTATTTTTGTTTTTCATTTAAATGTTAAGTTTTGAAATTTTGTTGTATGGTGTGGACTAACAAACCAATCTGGACAATGGAAAATACAAAGGTGGACATAGAGCTTCTAATAATAAAAGGCAGCAGTAGGAGTACAGATATAGTCAGTGAATATTATAGATATATGGACAATATGTACAAAGATAGTATTCAAATTTTTACAGATGGATCAAATGATTTACAAACAGAGCAACGGGATCTGCTGTATATATCCCTAGACATCATGGGGGAGTAAAGAAAAGAACATCTGACAGCTTATGTGTGTATACAGTCGAGTTATATGCTTTATTAATAGCATTAGAATGGATTGAACAATCCAGATGGGACAACGTTGTAATATGTAGTGATTCTGTATCTGCCCTCATGAGTATAAAGTCTGGTGTAACTAGAAACCACCAGGAATTACTTTATGGGATTTTATTTACAAACTCAAGAATAAGCAGGCAAGGGAAAAATATCACATATCCTACATGTGGGTGCCAGCGCATGTGGGCATCCAGGGAAATGAGAAAGTAGACAGACTGGCAAAAAAAGAACGTTGACGTCAAAATTAAATTATCAAAAACAGAAGGGAAGGGTTTAGTGCGGAAAAAGATCATGCAAAAATGGCAGCAGCAGTGGGATAATGATATCAAAGGGAGACATCTGTACATGATACAAAATATGATAGATATGGAAAGTAAGAAGGGAAATAAAAGGAAGGAATAAGTCATAATAAATAGACTGAGGATTGGACATCGCAAGCTAAACAAAACTCTTCATGTTTTAGGAAAACACCACTGACTACAATTAAAAAAGTGAAAAAGCATAATAGGACCCCTTTAAGATATAGTAAGTTAAAGTGAGACAACAGATGGCAGTAATGCAACACTATGGATGCCAACTGCCGTAAAACTCCAATGAAGAAGAAGAAGAAGAAGACGAAGAAGAAGAAAAAAAACACGTGTTGTTTTTGTCCCGCGCATGATTGCAACCAAGCGAAGCGAGTGTTAACCATGCCTTACTGCTCAGACTTTTCGTAGATGTAACGCATTAGAAACTCTTGAATTGTCGCGCTTGTTGTAACTGGGCAGTGTTGTGGAGTCTGTTGATGTGATTCAGTGGGTTTGTCCGTCTGTATCAGATCCATCCAACTTTACAGAATGTGTTCTGATCATTAACGGTGTGAAAGCGACATCAGCTTACAGTTTAACAGGTTAAGGTATGGCACTTTCATCTTTGGGGTTGTTGTAATGTATATATGCGAATTAAACACCCCCCGCCTCAAATGATGAAACCGTAAACGGAGTGAAATAAACCATTCCAGTATTTGTTGTGGGGAAAATATACAAGAAATGTTATGTCAATATCAGTTGTTTCAACTAAGAATTGTGCAACTAATAAAGTTGTATTTAGCAGAAGGGAGATGACGGTGTTAGTGGAGAGCATGACATTAAACATGATTAAACATTTCCACCACAGCTTTGAAATGTGGTGTAAAAACTCGGGAAAAATAGACCAAAACGACAGAACTGTGATGCATTTATGCACTCCGTTACAGATAAAATTAAATGTATGAGAGTGTAAAATATGGGTTTACTCATTCGTTTTGTGGTTAGCTGTAGTGGCTCTCTTTTCATCCATTTGTTTAGCTACACAACTACATTTAAGCTACTTAAGTCAAGTTAACATTGTGAAATTCAACAATACAATAGGCTATACACTCTGGTAGTGTGTGTAGTCATTTTAGACCGAAAAAGTAATTTTATTATTATTTATTATTATTATATAATTTATTGGAATGCTACAAAACTTAGTGACTTTTGTGACACTTGCTGTATGAACATAAAAACTGGTCTCAAATATACACACTTGTGTACGAAAATCCAGAGTTTTGGGTACATTGATAAAATCAGCCATGAATCTATCTGTCTGTATGTCTAGCCATCTATCTGTCTATCTGTCTGTCTGTCTAGCCATCTATCTGTCTGTCTGTCTGTCTGTCTAGCCATCTTATCTATCTATCTGTCTGTCTGTCTGTCTGTCTGTCTAGCCATCTTTCTATCTATCTGTCTCTGTCTGGCTGTCTATCTGTCTCTTTGTCTGTCTGTCTGTCTTTCTGTCCGTCTGTCTAGCCATCTATCTATCTATCTGTCTGTCTGTCTAGCCATCTATCTATCTATCTGTCTGTCTGTCTAGCCATCTATCTATCTATCTGTCTGTCTGTCTAGCCATCTATCTATCTATCTGTCTGTCTGTCTAGCCATCTATCTATCTATCTGTCTGTCTGTCTAGCCATCTATCTATCTGTCTGTCTGTCTAGCCATCTATCTATCTATCTATCTGTCTGTCTGTCTAGCCATCTGCCTATCTATCTGTCTGTCTGTCTAGCCATCTATCTGTCTGTCTGTCTGTCTGGCTGTCTGTCTGTCTGTCTAGCCATCTATCTGTCTGTCTGTCTAGCCGTCTGTCTATCTGTCTCTGTCTGGCCGTCTATCTGTCTCTTTGTCTGTCTGTCTGTCTATCTGTCTGTCTATCTGTCTGTCTGTCTTTCTGTCCATACGTCTAGCCGTCTATCTATCTGTCCGTCTAGCCATCTATCTGTCTATCTGTCTGTCTTTCTAGCCGTCTATCTGTCTGTCTGTCTAGCCGTCTATCTATCTGTCTGTCTAGCCGTCTATCTGTCTGTCTGTCTGTCTGTCTGTCCGTCCGTCTAGCTGTCTATCTATCTGTCTGTCCGTCTAGCCATCTATCTATCTATCTGTCTGTCTCTGTCTGTCTGTCTAGCCGTCTCTCTGTCTGTCTGTCTGTCTGTCTGTCCGTCCGTCTAGCCGTCTATCTATCTGTCTGTCTGTCCATCTAGCCGTCTATCTATCTATCTATCTATCTATCTATCTATCTGTCTGTCTGTCTGTCTGTCTGTCTACACACGCATGAAGTGTTTCAAGTTTGCGTAGATGCATATATGCCTATATACATAATGTTGCTGGTTTTCTCTACAGGAATGCCAGTCATTCTTTCTGCAGGTGTGACATGGAGAATCCTGAGGCACCCAGATTAAATGTTGAAACGGTGAACGAGATGCATAACGAAGCAGAAGTCAAACCAAATTATGTGGCAAAGCTGCTTCAGGACCACAGCGAGTACACCTGCAGCGTTTGCGGCGTTAGCACCTTCTCGCTCGCTCGGATGAACAAACACATGCAGTCCCACGACCGCGATCGCCCGTTTCCCTGCGAGCTCTGCGGCAAGCGCTTCGGCTGTCGCAGCCATCACACAGAGCACCAGCGCGTTCATACGGGCGCTCGGCCGTATACCTGTGACCGCTGTGAATGGGCCTTTACCACCCGCCACAACCTGAAACGCCACCAGCTCGTCCACGATAAGGAGGAGACATACAGCTGCAATGTGTGTGGCCTTCTCTTCTGCCAGGAGCATCAAATGAGGAGCATCATGAGGGTCCATCATGAGCAACGCGGGTCTCAAATCCATCCAAAACTCAAGAATAAAACCAATCAGAACATGGACCAGAAGAAGAAAATACACAAAAGCCTCAAGAAACTTGGCAGAGATGCTTTCGAAAGGCTGAACACCAGAATCCAGAGGATTGCTTATGACATTGAGGTTGTGTTGTGAAGAATATCGACTACATTAGTGCTAGTCATCATACTTTAGGCTTTTTTTGTGGCCAGTGTGATTGCAACAATCGCAAACATGTCTTTTCGTCGTGTTGATAAGGAGCAGGGCTGTTGGTTTTCCCATATATAATCTGCAACATCATAGAGCTTCTGCTCTAACATTATGTCGCGACCAGAGTCGTAATGCAAGTGATGTAGTTTTGATATGTCGCTGCTCTCGTGTTCGGTATAAACACATTGCTGTAGATTGTTTACAGTTCTAGGTGACATTTTCTGTATTAATGTATTATTCAGTTGCGGTTTGGCCACAGGTGTTTGTATTTCAACTAATTTACTAAATCTCATGACAGTGTGCATCTACACATTCGTTAAGAATAATCAGTTCTTCTGGTTCGCATTAACAGAAAACTGTTAAAAGCTGGAATTCTAGCTATAGCCGCTATAGTATAGCGATGCAGATCAAAGACAATGAGGAGCATTACTATATAATGTCTTAAGTGATTTTCTAAAGACGCTGGAATGGACAGCAGTATCCATCAGAAATGTACGTCTTTGATATTTCTATAATGTGCTCTAAAGCAGTGCATTTATATAATGCTCTTCACTTTAGACTTTTACATTAAGTAGTTTTCTTAGCTTAAAAAGTTACGCTTTTATTATTTAAAATGTTTTTATTTCTGCTTCTCAAGGCCTGTTTTTGTTGTGCCTGTATAAAGCACTTGAATATGACATGTTTGATGTAAATAAATGTTTTTTTTTCGTGGTATTACGCCAAAACAAAAATTTGTGTATTTGTTCTTTCACTTTCACTTGAAAGTACACTCTGTTTTTATTGGAGGTTGGCATCGGTAACTGCATGGCAATGTGCTGAAATCTATCCGAAACATTCTGGCATTGTAGACATGACTACTGCACAGGTAACAATCGCATTTCAGTTCTTATCTTATGTGATGACTCTTCACCACCACCAGATGGCAGCACCTTCAAACAGGTAAGATGTGCACACGTTGCCTTTTTTTTTTTTTTTTTTTTTTTTTTTTTAAATGGGCTAAAGTGTATTCCTTTTTGGTGGGTTTTGAGTCAGCTTTGGGCTGGAAACGTTCTGGGACTTGGCAACCCTGTGTACAACTGTCCTGTTGTTCTTGCACTCCAGACGATGCATCATCCAGTGCATCATTCTCAGGTTGCTAAAGTAACATATTGCTGTTCATCTTGTGTAAAGACTGTCTATTGTTTCTCAAGTGTATAATAACAATGTTGTTGTTGAACCTTGATTTGTGAGCTTTTCCTCCCAAAATCCCTAAACCATAACAAAAAAAAAAAAAAGGTTTTTGTTCTCATCTTCATCTCTTCTGATTGAACATACATAGCTGTTGCATTAGACTTAAAAGGATAGTTTACCCAAAGTTGTCAATTCTGTAATCAGTAATGAAACTCTTCATGATGTTACAAACCTGTATGGATTTTTTTTTTCTACGGAATACAAGAGAAGATCATTTGAAGAATGTTGGGAACCAAACAACACTGGACCCTATAGACTTTCTTTGCGTGTACAACAAGTAAACACTAAGACGTTTTTCCCAAATATATGGACATGAAGGTGAGTACATGATTACAGAACGATACTTTAAAGTGAACTATCTATCCCCTTAGGGGCTGTGCTTGTGTGATAATTCCTCTCCATCAAAAGGTGGCAGCACCTCTAAATATGAGATTAGGTTTGTGCTCAGCATTCTTCATGGTTTGCATAGTACTATTTGCATGCACAGAAAACCCAGATAATCTACCACGTTTCGTCAGATGTACAAAGTACAGCCTGAGGACACTGTTTGAGGTCACCTTGACCTACCTTTTCTAGTGCAACAAATTACATTCTCAAAAAATGTAATTAAATTGGTGCAATAACCACTTTATTTCCAGGACAAACTAACTCAAACAGCATGTTGAACCATATACAGTATGCAAGAATAAACACTTCCAGCACAGTGTGTTGTTCTGAATACACATTTTGGCAAAATCCATACTAAAACCTCCCAAGTGCTGACAGTGTTCAATGACACTGAACCTCCCAGAATCCACCTGGAAACAAAGTTGTGTTTCAAGCTTCTGGATTTATGCAGTGAGTGGTGTTCAGGATGAAGTTTAGCAGATTAGTGCTCAAATTCTGTTTTAGATACCGAGTGAGAGGCTTACTAGATATTTTTGAGCAAAAACTTATATGTGACCCTGGAGCACAAAAGCAGTCTTAAGTCGCTGGAGTATATTTGTAGCAATAACCAACAATACATTGTATGGGTCAAAATTATAATTTTTTCTTTTACGCCAAAAACCATTAGGATATTAAGTAAAGATCATGTTCCATGAAGATATTTTGTAAATTTCCTACCGTAAATATATCAAAACTTAATTTTTGATTAGTAATATGCATTGCTAAGAACTTCATTTGGACAACTTTAAAGATGATTTTCTTAATATTTAGATTTTTTTGCACCCTCAGATTCCAGATTTTCAAATAGTTGTATCTCAGCCAAATATTGTCCTATCTTAACAAACCATACATCAATGGAAAGCTTATTTATTCAGGTTTCAGATGTTGTATAAATCTCAATTTCGAAAAATTGACCCTTATGACTGGTTTTGTGCTCCAAGGTCACATATAAAGTTGAAGTTGTCACAAAGTCTGTGCAACTGTTCGTGGAGTCTGTTATTATTAAGGTATAATCTACTTAAACCAAGTCCTGAATGTGACAAACCAGAATGAACTGTGATTTAAGGCTTTACATCTCAATCAGAACGAAGGGCCTATAAAGTTATGAAAATGTTATTTCTGACTATTCTGTAAACGTTCAAAGCGTCCAGTTTTCATATTCTAAAAAAAAAGTTTTTTCGTGGTAAATGTTAGGGGAACATTCTATTTGATCATTTTGCTACATGATGGGAATGTTACTGTTGAATGTCCTGTAAACATTCTGAAACAAGTAAGTAACATAAAAAAAAATGAAAAAGTTAAACAAATGTCTAACAACATATTTCAGGAAAAACCCCAAAGTAAAAATTCTTTCATCGTTTACTCAGTCTCAAGTTATTCTAAAAAAGTACGAGTTTCTTTCCTCTGCTGAGTTTCTTTCCTCCTCATTTGCTTGCAAAAGAAGACATTTTGAATAATGTTGGTAACAAAACACTCGATGGCACCCATTGACTTCCATAGTATTTTTTACATACTATAGAAGTCAATGGCTACCGTTATCTGTTTGGTTACCAACATTCTTCAAAATATCTCCTTTGAGAGTAAATTATGACAGAATTTTCATTTCCAGATGAGCTGTCCTTTTAATGTTAAGAATGTTGATAATGGATAATTCATAATACTTTGTTCATAACTTTGAGAGAACCTTGCCAGATCATTCTGAGAATGTTAGCTGGAAGAGCGTTATGTTTGCTCCAGATCGTGCAGTCTGTCTCTGAGTTAACTTAAGTAGACTCCCGCCGCATTCAATGAAGGATTTCCTCGAATGAGCGTCAGTCACATGATCTCTCTGCCTCACACTGCTCTGGCCCAGAAGCCTCTATAGGAGGTGTGAGATTCCCTATAGCAGCGTGAGGCCGAACCCCTGGACTCTTCCGCTTACTGTAACCGTCTCCTGATGGATTCTCCACTGTCTGGAGGTGATTATGTTGGCAATGATTCAATTTAATGCTGTGAAGTCTGTCCATTAACAAGCCATGATTAGAACAGTTCTGTGGAATACTGGACTGATTAATCAGTCCTGGGATTCACTGTATAATGTCACCACATAATTTGAATTCAGATCAATTTCATTTCATTGCATTGCATTGCATTGCCAGGATCCTGATCACCCAATTGGGTTGGCTGGTTTTATTTATTTGTTTTAAATCAAATCAATTTTTCATGTTTTGTTTTTTATTATATTATCCATTTTTATTTTTGATATTCAGCACCATGGTAAATGACTACCATATTCATATACCAAGATATTTTCATGGCACTCTAAAGTACTTCTAAGAATACCATGGTACTATCATGGCGCATGTCAAGTAAGCATGGAAATACAATGGTATTGTTATGATTACCATAGTATAGTTCCACAAAATGTAGTGTTTTCATATTACTCCTATAGGTACTTTAAAGAATATAGTGGTATTACCATGGTACAAGTCCAAAATATGTGGTACTACCATGCTACTGAACAATTAGCATAATCATATGCCTTTGTATTTTAATGGTTTATCACTGCTATTGTCAGTAACTCATTTGATTTTATTGACCACTTGGAAACAAACTCAACTTGTCTAATAGATGCAATGGAGGAACGGTGATGTGAGCGCTTGATTCTGTCTCTCATTGTCTTCCTCTTGTTTGTCCAGATCGCAGTGCAGATTGAAGTTACATGTTCTGTCATGGTACACCTGCCTGAGGCCACACAGCAGCAGAGTTCAGCTTGAGGTTCATGCTGAAGTTTGATTCATGCTCTGAATTGTTAAACGTCCTCTCTGTGCACAGACAAACACGTAAGTACACGCGCACACATAAGCAGGAGCTCATATGTTTAAAGCATATAAATTTGTCTCATGGATATTAAATTATGTTGCTGATGCAACCGATGATGCGAAAGCATGCTGGTCAAGCAAAATGCTACTTCTGATAAAAACATTATTTCCCAAAAAGAATTTGTATAGGTCGCTAGGCCTCTGCATGTACATGCAAACGCATGGCTGAT